GGCATTTAAAGCCAAGGGAAAGAATGGGGCATGGCCTAATATGCTAATGAGCTGCACTGTCCAGGTGTGGCCTAATATGCTAATGAGTTTCTGCTGTTGGGTGTGGCCTATTATACTAATGAGTTCCTGCTGGGCTTTTTCTACAAAAAAAGCCCTGGTTTTTTTCCTAATATCCAGCCTGTACCTTAATTTAAACCCATGATTGTGAGTCTTCTCCTCTGCTGCCAACAGGAACAGCTCCCTGCCCTCCCCTAAGGGACAGCCCTTTAGATACTTAAAGAGAGCATGTTAGACTGCAAAACTTTAAAATATTAACCCGATGGTACATGACACCGGTAAAATTAGCCCGTATATAGGGCTCTTTTTGTAGCAGGAACTCCTTTGCATATTAGGCGACACACCCCTCATGTAGCCAATCCTCCGAGAGCTGACAGTAGCCCCTGTAAGAAGAGCTCTGTAAGCTGTTGGGGGATTGGCTACATTAGGGGTGTGTCGCCTAAGATGCAAAGGAGTTCCTGCTACAAAAAGAGTGACTTCCTGGGCTCCTTCAAACACTGTTGGTAAGACTGCCCTCTGTTACAGATTTTCTGGAGGGAAATTGAAAGGTATGTTTTCCTGATAACAGGATACAACATCACTCTAACACCGGAAGTCATTTTCTTGTGCCACTGGACATCAATGGACATTCCTGATATCAGGAAAGATTTGATTAACTGCCTACTTACAGCTGCCAAAACATCCATTGTGAATTTATGGAGGCAACAAGTAGTACTATCTGTAGACTTGTGATTTGACAAAAATTGGGCACTTATTAAGTATGGGAAAAAATCAATAATGACCTTCTGCAATCAGACATCTTTCCTAGACAGACGACATAAAGCCAAATGGTTCCCCTGTATGGAGTATATTAATTCTAACAAGATTCTACCCTCAAACCCTATCTATCAAGAGTTACTTTAAAATATATTCCTCTTTACCTACCTCTCCTCTGCCTTCTCTTAGTCTCAAAGTGTCCTGATGATATCTGTGTTTGAAGTAGAAGGAATATTATTAGTTAAACGGTGTATATGACATCAAAAAGGGTAGCGGTTTATATACGACTAGTTATAACTGATTAACACTTACATTTATGTGTTGTATATTTGTATTTAATAGTCCAGATAATTGTTTACAATTTGGTATGTTCTGTTGCTTGTTGTAGAAATGTTAAGTTTTATGTTTTGTATTTGTCTTGTTTTTTTAATAAAATTTTAAAAAGAGAGAGAGCAATCGTGTCCCCCTCAACCTCCTCTTCTTCAGACTAGACATTCCCAGGTCCCTCAGCCTTTCCTCATCGGGCTTGGTCTCCAGGCCCCTGATCACCCTCATCGCTCTCCTCCGTACCCGCTCCATTCTGTCCCCTTTTTGAAGTGAGGCCTCGAGAACTGCACACGAGACTCCAGTATTGGATCTTGAGACATGGAGATCCAGTCAGCGTAGACAGCTGAAGCCTGTGGAAGTGGTGACACAGCCAGCATCAATATTGAACCTCTCCAGGCAGTTGAAAGGCTTCCTCAGCCAGAAGGACAGTTGTTGGATGTAGAGCCAGTGAAGGTGTACAGCTCGGGAGCAGGATGCGGGGGTTGCGTGTGTTCACTCTCCCCGCCTGCTTCTGTGTGGCAGTCTCCTCCTGCTCCAGTGGCCAGAGCTGGCATTGCATGCTGTTTTCAGTAACCCCGGGCGTATTCATGGAAGAGCCCAGTTTTGGTCAGCATTCTCAAGTGCCGAAGGTTGCTTTTCCCGGGTTCATTTTTACTCGGGTCGGGGCTGCTTGTGCGTAATGCTAAGCTTAGGTGCTGGGAGGGACGAGGGCACTGCAGGGTTGGTTTCAGGTCTCCCCCGCCACTATCCTTATTACCCACCCACATGCCCCCCTTCCCATCTGCTCCGCTTATGTGTTGTTCCGTGCCTACTCACAGCAGCCCACCCTGTCTGTATGTCCTTTCCCTGACTGGGGCAAGTGTGTGGTTGGGAGCAATGTTCCCTCTAAGCTGTGCAGTCTTGTGAGCAAAAAAACTACTTTGTGAGCTACGGGCATTAAAGTGTGAGCGGGCGATGTGGCTGCTGCATCAATCAGTTTGCTCTGGAGCCCTCCTTCCTGAGCTGAGACAAAAAATGTGTGAGCTAGAGGCTAAAAAACTGTGAGCTAGCTCACACTGACTCAGCTTAGAGGGAACACTGGTTGGGAGTGCCGCCGTGGTGACTGCCAGTAGCAGTGCCCCTGTGTGCTGTTCACACACTTACTCCCCGAGAGCCAGTCTGGTGTCGTGGTTAAGTGCGCGGACTCTAATCTGGGAGAACCGGGTTTGACTCCCCACTCCTCCACTTGCAGCTGCTGGATGACCTTGGGCAAGCCATGGTTCTGTCAGAGCTGTCCTCTCAACTGCAGTTCTTGAAAGGGCTTTCTCAGGCCCACCTACCTCACAGGGTGACTGTTGTGGGAAGGGGAAGGAGTTTGTGAGCCACTCTGAGACTCCGAGGGAAGGGCAGGGTATAAATCCAATCTCTACTCTTCTTCTGGTGCTGGGGAGCACATGCAACCAGGAACATGGCTGACGGAGTGCTTGCACACTGGCAAGTAGGTGGCAGGTGAAGTGCGCAGACAAGGGGGTTAGCCCTGCAAAGTGACTTGGTTCCTGGCATCTGCCCCACCACATTGCATGTTGATGCCAGCCCTGGGGCAGTCTCAGGGGTAGTTGGCAAGTCTCCCTAACGTTACATGTTGATTTGCTTTGAGATGACGACATTCCTTATGGTTTGCAGATAATCTGGTTAAGAGCCATGGTCCCTCTAAGCTGTGGAGCCCTGTGAGCAAAAATTCTACTTTGTGAGCTCCTGGCATTAAAGTCGTGAGCAAGCGATTTGGCTGCTGCATAAGTCAGTTTGCTCTGGAGCCCTCCTTCTTGACCTAAAACAAAAATCTGTGAGCTGGAGGCTAAAAAACTGTGAGCTCGCTCACACTAACTCAGCATAGAGGGAACACTGGTTAAGAGGTACTTCCCAACATCAATTTGTAAGTTTAAAAAAGTCCCCAGATGGGTTATTAAACGCATCTGCTTAAGTAAAAGAAAAAGGGGAAAAAGAACAGAGCAGCCTGTGTAAGTCAAAGTTTACTCTTCAAATTATTCTTAGTCATGCAGTAAGTGCAGAAGCAAAAGGAGTATGAATAAAAGAACCAGCAAGTCCCCTGGTGTGTTGCTTAGAAGTAATACCTAATTTCTATTTCAAGTGTGCTAATGGATTTCCATATAAATGGAGTAAAACACAAAAGGGAGTATTCCGCGCTATGGGGTTTCCCCGAGGTATTTTATATTTCTTTATGATTAAAATCTGAACAAGATGTCAGTAACGGTTTGGAATTTAGTGCAGTTTATATTTTATATTTACACTGGAATGAGAAATGATTTGCTTTTGTTAAGTCCAGAATGATTAAAGGTGCCTTCTTTTCTCTCTACAGATAGATAAAGATATGCATACAGGATAGAGACTCAGAGATTAAAGCATCGGCTGTTATGTTGTTTTGGAGTTCATGTATCCAGTACTGATGCCAATAATAGCTTTATGCTGCTTTCATGTTACCAATTATTTGCTACCAAAAGTGTGGGACTCTCTGCCTTAGGGAAATTTGTCTGTTCCCTTCTGTTGCCATCTTCCACCAGTATTTTGCTTGCGATTCCCTCAGTGACCCCCTGCTTCCTGACCAATGTTCCAGTTGTTGTTTTTATGTCTTTGTATGTACTTATGCTCTGTTTTTAATTGTTTTAACAATGTGCGCTTTGGGGGGGGTGGTTTGAATGTGATATTTTATATGTTTTAATTTGTTAGCCACCTTGACGGCCCTTGTGAGGGTAAAGGGATATAAATTTTATTGATGATAACCAGGGCTATTTTTGGGCAGGAACGCACAGGAACGGAGTTCCGGCTGGCTCCCAAGTTGGCCACGCCCAGCAGGAACTCATTAGCATAATAGGCCACGCCCAACAGCAGAAACTCATTAGGATTGGCTACATTAGGGGTGTGTGGCCTAACATGCAAAGGAGTTCCTGCTATAAAAAAAGGCCCTGTGTTTTGACAACAAACAAGGTAAACAGAATAAGAAGCAAAAGGTGAGTGTGGCTGGATGAGCACACTTCTGGTAACATGGGGGTGTGGCCTATAATGCCAATGAGCTGTGCTGTCAGGGTGTGGCCTAATATGCTAATGAGTTTCTGCTGGGCTTTTTCTACAAAAAGAGCCCTGAAATAATAATTGTGTGGCCTGTGAATTTCCAAGACCCATTAATTTCAAAGAAATGTGGAATGAGTTAGAACACATTAGAACCCTTTCACTTTCAGAAGTGGATCGTTTTTCTGTTACGCACCTAATTTTGAGTCAGGTATCTTTTTCTCACCCACCCCATATATACATCCGTGTTATGTGTGGCCAGTCCCAGTTTTGCTTGACTTCAAATTATTCAAGCCATGTTATAAGCCCCCCCCAACTTGGGAGTTGCCTACTTGGTTTAGAACATTTTCTTTAACAATGGTAGTTAAACAACTGATACCTTTGGACAGCACAGTAGACGCCACTAGGAGTCGGCCATTTTTATTTTTTTTTACTATTGGGGAAGGTGGGCTATCAGCAATGCTCCCTCTAAGCCATGGAGTCTTGTGAGCAAAAATTCTACTTTGTGAGCTCCTGGCATTAAAGTTGTGAGCGAGCGATTTGGCTGCTGCATAAATTAGTTTGCTCTGGAGCCATCCTTCCAGAGCTGAGACGAAAATGTGTGCGCCGGAGGCTAAAAAACTTTGAGCTAGCTCACACTTACTCAGCTTAGAGGGAACATTGGTAATCAGTAGAAGAAAATATTTTGACAGAGGACACCCTGCCCCCTTTTCTAGTAATCCTTGTGATCAAGTAAGGACATTGAGTGGCTGCTATGTGCTAATCTGGTATAAAACTTTTTATCCTGTCTTCTGCAGAGATTATTACAACTACTACCTGAAAGGATTTTCTTTCGGTGGCATTTCCACAGTATAGGTAAGAGTACTTGCGTGCCTGGCCTTTTACTATGTGTATTTTATTACTGAGTTGGGCGTATGCTCCTCTGCTCTCTAGCAATGCCAGTCTAAAAATTCCAGATTGCCTTAATGAAATTAAACTGTCCTCTTGTGCTGTATTCCCTTTTATCAGTTTTGTTCAACTTGATCAAGGTCATTTGTTAATGGAAACCTTTTTTTTAACAACTGCAAGCAGTGTCTTGTTTTAATAAGTAAAACGGTTTAGTCTATGAGCATGTGAAGGTTTTGGCAAATGTGCAGGGACAGAAAGGGCAAAAAACTGAAGCTTAACACTAAAATTCAGAACCTAACAAAGGCTAGTAAAATGTGAAAAAGAGGGCCAATATTAAAAACTAAATGTAGAAAATATATAGAAAAAGATACATGTATTTACAAGTTTTAAAACATATATAAGGGCCCATTCACATCAAATATATAAATAATGTGGCAATACACACGGGCTTAAAAACCTGACACATTTCTGCCTGCATAGGCCTTCCTCAGAGGTCAAACGATTAAATGGCAAGATGGCTATATAAATATAATACAATCCTGTAGACACAATCAGAATAGATACAAAATATAAATTCAATATGGACCAGAAAACCAGTTGTTCCAGAATAAAACCACCAGGCACACAATAAATATGCAAATGAGATCTTTAAATGTGCAATCACTCGCCCAGTGGTTCTAAAGTATAGACTTTTGGTCCAAGAATTGCCTCCTTTGATTGTGTTGCCCCAGTGTTCTCAAGTAAAAAGCAGTCATGGCAAATATGCAGTCATTCCATTGGATGTGCATGTATAAAAGAAATGTGGCTATTTCATAACAGCAAGGGGGTAAATAGTCCAATCCAGTATGCATGGACCTTTGGCTATCAGTGTTAGCCTTTTCTTATTGGAAATAATTATACCAACATAATTGAATTTATTTATGCTCGATTTTACAAGAGCACATGAAGTTCAGATAAATTGCCTAACTCAGAATTAAGGAATGAATTGCTCATTGGGTTGACCCCCCCCCCCCCGCCCCAGCTTGAGGCAAAGCCTTATCTTCCACTCTATTCTGGATCTGAACCTTCCTGGTCATTTGGTTGTCTACTGCAGTGTGTTGCCCAAGCCACCTGCTATGGTGACAGCACTGGTGCTGTTGAACCTTCCGCTAAACATTCTGGGAAGAGTTCACAAATGGCAGACGAGGAGGTAAAGCTCTTTCTGGGGTGTCTCATTTCATTCCGCGGGGAGGCACTCACATGGTGGCAATGCTCCTGCTGCTGCATACTGACCTAGCCTCTTACTGGGCGACAGATAGTCTTCTATGTGGAGGGATGGTTTTTGATCAACATTGTTCCATCATGTGAGCTGCCATGACAGTGCACTGTGGTCCAACTCAGACAAGGGTCACTGCTTCGTCTGGTGTCCATCAGAATGAGACCTGAATTGTAAGCATTTCTGAGGGGTTTGCTTTTGGCTAACTGGGTTTAAGTGACTGATGGAAGATACAGCAGATTATTTGGAAATATTCTAACATTCCCCCCCCCCTTTTTTTCTCAGGGTCAGTCTTGAAGAAACTTTTGCACACTGGAAACTGTCTTAAGGTATTTTGTTTTGTGTTTAAAGTCCAATCTAAATATGCATGGAATGCTTTTTATTTGCTTAAAACCTGCAGCGAAAGAATTGTTGGTGAGCTCAAATCCACATGAAATTCAGCTCTGTGCCCCCCTCCCCAGCTTCTTGGTCCCATTTGTCATGTTAGGGTTTTTGGTTCACTGTGCAGTGATCACACAGAAGCCTTGTCTGGCTGTTCCCAGGGCCTCCATGACCTCCTTTGCTCTCGATTGCCTGCTTCCGGCAATGGTGCACCGTCTCTTTTGGCATGCATGAACCTTGGCTGCTCCACCTACACGTTTCTGCCACTCGTTGTTTCCCCAAACCCATAGTTTTAAGTCCAGTGTATACTTTAGGCCAGGGTCGTCAGACATAAGGCCCAGGGGCCGGAAGTGGCCCGTTCAGGCCTCTTATGCGGCCCGTGAGCCACTAGTGCAAGGGAGGAGTACTGGGGGGAGTGGGTGAAACCACTCCGATTGTGGCTTCAGCATGGCAGAACAACCTCGTCTGCAGCAGTCAAGCATCATGGTAGCATCTGCCCAGAGCTGCACCGCTGGCTCTCCAATCCGCCCATGTGGGTTTTCCTCTACACCCCCCTCCCAGCCCTTGGGGCCTTGCAGTGAGGATACACCAACTCAGAGCTTACTGGCTGCTGTTCTTTATACAGTTTCTGTCTCCAGTACCTGGCAATACGTTTTAAGGCACACATGGCCCGGCCCCAACAAAATGACATTTGTGCCAGATCTGGCCCTCGTAACAAATGAGTTTGACACTTCTGCTTTAGGCCTTTCTCTCAGTCGGACAGAATTCCTTTCTCCCTTTCCCCATAGCGTATTGACTAGGGATGCCAATTCCAGGTTGACAAGTTTCCAGAGATTTGGGGGCACTGCCTCCTTTTGAGATCCATGTCGCTTGGCATCTCTGCCTCCTGGCATCTCTTCCAGATTCTATGGCATTCTCTGTATGAAGTTTTAATTCAGATGACTTCCCTTTCCCTCAAAGAAGCTGGCTTGCTAACCACTGAAGCTCCTTTACTCTCTGAACGTTTCTTGCTGTCACACCAGCTCCTCCGGTCAGTGTCCAAGGCTTTCAGACCACATGCAGAATGTTGTTGTTCAGTCGCACAGTCGAGTCCGACTCTTTGCGACCCCATGGACCACATCAGAATCAGGAGGCCGAGCGTCGAAGAATAGATGCTTTCGAATTATGGTGCCGGAGAAGACTCTTGAGAGTCCCTTGGGCTGCAAGGAGATCAGATCAGTCAATCCTAAAAGAAATCAACCCTGACTGTTCCCTGGAAGGCCAGATAATGAAACTGAAGCTCAAATACTTTGGCCACCCAATGAGAAGGGAGAAGACCCTGATGCTGGGAAAGATTGAAGGTTAAAGAAGAAGGGGACAGCAAAGGATGAGATGGTTAGACAGTGTTATCGATGCAATGAGCGTGAAATTAAGCAAACTCCGGAACACAACGGAAGACAGGAGGGCCTGGCATGATGAGGGTCCATGGGGTCGTGAAGAGCTGGATTCGACTGAGTAACTGAACAACAACATTCTGCATGCGGTATGCAGAATACTGCATAGATTTTCATTTCAAAAAAGCGCATTGCCCCCCGAAAATTCTTGCAATCTAAGTGTACAACTGTAGTTGAAACATTTCTGGGAGCGCTACTGAAGCAGCTTTACTAAACCTACCCATATAAGCCATGGCAGTCAAACCTAACAATGCATAAGAATGCCTCAGTGTTATTGTGTGGGGTTGTTCAATACTGATAGGGGAGGAAGGGCTGAAATTGGCAGCTGTCCAGTATGTAGCTCTAAGCTCCATGTGGAGAAATCTTCAGTATGTTGGTGCAGGGAAAACCGAACTGATACTTGTAGACGTTGCAGTAGTGTCAGCCCTCAACAGTTTACTTCCGAACCAGGGTCTGCTTCCAGATTGCATCTCCATGTTTGCAAACAGGTGTGGTCAAGTATATGTTAGTGGCAATTTGCTCCAATACAGGGAATCTTATAGCCTCTTAAAGAAAACATTGTCATTGCATGCGGTTCCTGAGCCACAGTTTGCCGCCCCCGCTCCAGACCCTCTCAGTTTGTGTAGTCATACATGTTTCATTTTGGATTATTGGGCACTCGAAACCCTTATCGGAGGAATCTCTGCTCAGGATGTGCACCAATAGGTGACTATAAGCTTCTGCTCTCCCCTCTCACACTACCTCCGTGGCCTCTGCCTCCCCTTCTCTAGGGATCCATGTTGCACATAGTGTGTCGGTGTTTGGAATACTCGCATCTCCACATGGGCATTGTAGTATTTGGTGCTGCTGCTGTATGCCTGATAATTATTTATTCAGAACGTTTCAGTGCTGCCTCTCTAGAAAACCTGCACGAGATGACTCACAAGGGAAACATCATGAAAACAGAAAACAGAGAGCAATAGTTAAATATACTGGGTTTCATTGTTCTTTCCATGCTTACTTGGAAGCCTTGTCGCTTTGTCAAGTGATCTCATAGTTGCCAAAGTGCGTATCGTTCCCTCAACCAGGTGTAAAACCTAAGCCTGCATTTCCTTTAGAATAGGAGGTAAAAGGTAAAGGTTCCCTTGCTCGAAAGCCAGTCGAATCCGACTAGGGTTGCGGTGCTCATCTCCGTTTCAAAGCCGAAGAGCCAGCGCTGTCCGAAGACATTTCCGTGGTCATGTGGCCGGCATGACTAAACACCAAGGCGCACGGAACGCTGTTCCCTTCCCACCGGAGCAGTTCCTCTTTATCTACTTGCAATTTCTTGCTTTCAAACTGCTAGGTTGGCAAGGAGCTGGAACTAGAGACGGGAGCTCACTCCGTCATGCGGCACACTCGGGTCTCGAACTGCTGAACTACCGACCTTCCACAGCCTGCAGTTCAGCGTCTTAACCACTTGAGCCACCGCGGCTCCTTTAGAATAGGAAGGAGATAGCAAAAGGGAAGTTTCTTCCTTAACGGCCAGGCTTCCCCGGGAGGAATTTAATCTGACTGAAGAGAGGGCCTCATGCACGGGGACATGCGTCTGCCCACACATGGGAACAACTGTGCTCTGTTCTTCTCTGTGTAGCCCAACGTTTACTTTGTTTTGTCCCTAGTCCGCTCCATGTGATCAAGAGTGACCATAAATTGTATAATTGCAGATCTGCTGCACTTATTTTATTTTTATTTTTTAAAAACAACCTCGTAAAATATTTGTAACGCTGTCTTTCCATGTGACGGAAGGATAAGTAAATTGGGCTTATGTGCTTAGATATTTATGAGCTATCCAGTGGTCTGTGTCAAAGGCAGACCAGCCGTCTGGGTGGTGACTTTGCAGTAGCGCTTTGGTACAGATTCGGAGCTCATTGGCGTTCCACCCTGTACAAAGGGATGCATGGATTCATCCTCCATCAACCGATATTAAATACCAGAACACAAAGTTTACAGTTACCTTAAGACTCCTGTTCCTTGAGAGCCAGCTCAGAGTTAAAAGTAGCGGACTCTAATCTGGAGAGCTGGGTTTGATTCCCCACTCCTCCACATGCAGCCAACTGGGTGACCTTGGGTCAGTCACAGCTCTCTCAGAGCTCTCTCAGTGTTTGTTGTGGGAAGAGGAAGGGGAGGTGATTGTAAGCCACTCTGAGACTCCTTTGGGTAGTGAAGGGTGGGGTATGAAGCCCATTCTTCTTTTTCTTGAAAAGAAGCTAGAAGTTCTTTCTTTCTTTCTTTTTCTCTCTCTCTCTCTCTTTCTTTCTTTCTTTCTCTCTTTCTTTCTTTCTTTCTCTCTTTCTCTCTCTCTCTTTCTTTCTTTCTCTCTCTCTCTCTTTCTCTCTTTCTCTCTTTCTCTCTTTCTCTCTTTATTTATTTCTTTCTTTCTCTCTTTCTTTCTTTCTTTCTTTCTCTCTTTCTCTCTCTTTCTTTCTTTCTCTTTCTCTCTCTCTCTCTTTCTCTCTTTCTTTCTTTCTCTCTCTCTTTCTTTCTCTCTTTCTCTCTCTCTCTTTCTTTCTTTCTTTCTCTCTTTCTCTCTTTCTCTCTTTCTCTCTCTCTTTCTCTCTCTCTCTTTCTTTCTTTCTTTCTTTCTTTCTTTCTCTCTCTCTCTTTCTTTTTCTCTTTCTCTCTCTCTCTCTTTCTTTCTTTCTTTCTTTCTTTCTTTCTTTCTTTCTTTCTTTCCAACAGCGGTGTGTTCCACCTAGGAATAATCTGGTTTGTGCCACATTTTCATGTGTTATTACATTTGTACCTTATCCTAATACTCCTACAGCACTTCTTATGGCTTATACAAATCTGTGAAGCAGGAAACATTATGAAATAAAACACCATTGCTTGTCTTGTGTTTTCAATCATGCACAGGGACACAAGTTGTTATTCTTAACAGCTTAATTTGTGGCCCTCAGGTTCTTTTTAATATCCTTTTATGGCTTTAATATGGGGTGACAGAAGTTTTAGTAGAAGACTGTTCTAATGTATGTCATTCAAATAGTTTGGAGATAAACGGTGCAGTCCTAAAGTTACACCCTTCTAAGTCCATTGAAGTCAATAGGCTTCTAATGGTGTAACAGTGTTTAGGACTGTGCCGTTAAGCTACCATTCATACATACCCATTTTGGCAAACCTTCAAGGACCCAGAGCTTGCCACTGGTTCACTTACTCCTCTCTCCTGCATGGATTGCCTCTTTCATTCCAGGTGTCAGCGAGCTGCCATTTCTCTGGGATGTGTCCCTCTTCCCTCCCTCCCCGTGTTATTCTCTTCTGGTATGCGACTGTAACTGCCAAGCTTCTCCTACAGGTGGACGATGGAGTGTTATGTCTTCTTGCCTTGCTTAATTAGATTCCCGTGTGAACTGAACTTGTGTTTATGGTATGAGCCGTTGGAGTTCTCAGGCTGCTTCGCGCCTTTTCTAATCAACTCCCTTGCGAGGGAGTTTAGCCCATTGGGTTAACCAAGTTTGAAGTTCCTATATTATACTGCCCCTGTGTATTGTAGTCATTCT